TGGCATAATTAGGTTGAAAATGTAAGATACTTGCTGTGTGATCGTTTTAAGCTGATACAAACTACTTGAGGAGGGGGCAGTGTAGTGTTCCTTCTCATCCTTTGAAGCTCAGTTTAAATGTCACTTAGGCCAAGAGTTCTTGGCCCCACCCCCGGGGACATTTGGCCACAGCTGGAGACACTTCCGGTGGTTGTAACTAGAGAGGTGCTCCTGGCATCAGTGCAGCAGAAGCCAGGGATGCTGACCCTCACACGGGACAGCCCCCACCACACAGGGCGACCCGGCCCCAACTGTCATCTGAGGTTGACAGAGACCCTGGCCTAGACTGTTTAAAGTAGATTCTTGGCCCTGTTCTTTCTCTGATTTGTTTGTTTTTTCATGATACTAACTGCAGTCTGTAATTATCTGGGTGGTTGACTTAAAAAACAAAACAAAACAAAACCTTTGTATTGTCTGCCTCACATGTAATATAAATCCACGAGGGCAGGGACCTTATCTAGCTGACTGCTGTATGCCCAGTGCCTGGTATGCAGTAGGTGCCCAATAATTGTTTGTTCTAGGAGTGAATAAGTACGAACTTGTATTGAAGAGTGTTTTTTTTCTTTCTCCTATATGGAGTTTTGATTCTATATCTCCAATTTATTCGACCTGCCTAATAATTAACTCGAAATTAACTCAGGATTTTTGTTACATTTCAACTCTAACAAAATTGGTATCCGTCTAACCAGATCCTGTCATCCAGGAAATGTGAAATAGTGAATGTCCTTTCTGGAAGTTTTCATCACGCGTATATTAAGAGTTCCCCGAAATCCCTAGTTGTTGGAAAGAAATGGAGACAGAGACCATAAACCGAGTATCTAATTTATAAAATGTCACCAGTTTTATTTTGTCATTGTAAAGAGGTTTATATCTCAACCAGATTGTAACAAAATTACCACAGCTTATTCCAAAAGAAAATTTTAATACAAGAGATCTTAGAAAATTAAACACATTTGTTTAAAAATCCTGTCGTGTAAACTGTAACATAAGAGGGCAGTTAAGATAACACTACATGTCAGAGCGCATCTGCGGACCTGCAGGCTATTTACACACAGACGACGGAAGGCTCCGGGCCCCTCGCCTTCTGACCCCCTCACAGACGGCTCACTGGGACCTGATCGTAACTCTGACCAGGCGCCACCGAGCTGGGATTACCACCTCTCCTGCATTCAAAAGACTCACTCCCCCAAGAAGTCGGTGTCAGAGGAGTCAGGCAAAGCACTCTACCGACGGCCACGCCAGGGACGGCCAGGCTGCGGAAACAGACATTCCTTCCAGGTTGAACCCTAGAGAACAAAACTCCCCATTAGCTGCACCCCACCCCCTTCCTCTCTGGGCTCGTTTGAGTCACTCTGGTTGCAAATGTGCAATCCATGTGTCCTCAGCCCCAAGTTTTGCAGGGTACCCCCATCCTGTACCGATGGTGAAAAGAACCCTCAAAGGCGCGTGCGTGGCCTTTCCCCTGGCAGTTCACGGGGGCAGGAAGCAGAGCTGAGGACGTTCGAGGGGCTGGTGGTGGCCAGGAGGAGACAGGCAGTGGCTTTCCAGTTAGGACGAGAAAACATTTACGCACCGGTAAGAACAGAACCCCTGGACCTCGGAACACCACTGAATCTAGCATCTTCTAGTGGGGACACTTATCTGTGTTATAAGGTCAAAAATGACTTTCCTAAAAAAATGGTTTTTTAAATTTTTTTTCCTTTTTCTACAGAAAATGGGTGTAAGGAAGCCCATTCAATTTGGTGGTTAGGATTTAGGGACAAAAGGGCTCCGTGATAATTCAGAGCTACCAAAATCAGGCCCACAATGTGGCAATGGCTCACAGCCACAGTGAGAAATGCTCGAGGGGAGCCGGGCAGGGGCGCCGCGGGAACCGTGGGGCGCACTGTGGGACCCTCGCTGCCACGCCTGCGTTCCCATTGATCCAGTAGCTGAGGTTTTATTTTAGAAACATAATCAAGACCGTGTATTATAGAAACATTAAAATGAACGTTTTGGCACAGAAATGTTAGATAAAATATACAGTGCTACAATTGTGCAAAATTAGCACGGAAGCCAATCTGAACAGCAAATATTTAATGTTAGCTTTAATGAAATAATGCACAACATTTTGAAAAGTTCATTACAATAGACCTTGCTCATAAGCAGGCCTTCCAGAAATAGCCCGTGTCTGCCGAGTCGCAGCCTCCAGGCCGGGGAAAGGGTCCAGGCTGTCTGGCACTGTCCCCAGTGAAACACCGAGAGAAAGTCAGACGATTATTGCCTTTGGGGTTGAAACCTGGGCTGAGGCCGCCCCTTCCAGGGATGCCTCCTAGCCAGTCTGATGTGCTGGGGAAGGGGGGCCTTGGTTGGGTCTTCCTCAGGCAGGTCCTTGGAGCTGAAAGTCCAGCCCTTTCTTTGCCTTTAGTTACGTGCTGAGGACAGACTCCGAGGTGGCTGGAAGGTGCCGGCCAGGACCCTGGAGAACAAGGGAGGGGCTCCAGGCAGCACAGAGGGAGCCGTACCCCCGCGGGGGCCTGAGCAGGTGGGGCAGGGAGGCCCAGACCTGGTCCTTGGGGGTCAGGAGAGAAGCCTTCCGTGGAAGACTGTGCTGTCTCACGCCAACTGGGCGGACTGGTTGGGGCTTCGCTGTGTTTCTGACTCGGGGGGGTGATCACTAGGCCTCCGGTGCCTTGTGCGTCGTCAGCGACAGCTGTGTTATCAGTGGGCCGGCTGGGGGCACACGGCTTTCGATTGCGTCCGGTTTCAAAGCACAACGTGCAACCTGCCACTTCCCTAGAAAGTCAGTGTTATCAAAGAATTCCTCTTAAAAAGCGCCAAAGCCTGGGGCAGGGCCGAGGGTTGTGATGAGACCTGGTCCACACCCTCCCCTGGGGTTCACACCTCTTCCTGGGTCTTAGGAGATGGTGTCCTCTTTACACCCCATCTGGTGGATGTTAAGCTGGCTGCCACCCTGGGCCACGAGTGAGATTCGGAGGAGCTGGAACTCCAGACTGAGCTCAGGGCCAGGAGTCGGTCTGGGTTGGCTTACACCACTCTTGGCCTTCCTGTCTGGAAGTTTTAGGTCTCTCTTAAGGAGAGACATCTCTGCCCAGTCCCCCTCTCCTGAGACTGTCTCATCTCAGGGAGGAGAAGAAAGAAATGAGACGATGGCACAGCACCAAACTGGCAACGTTGTGTTCTGGCCCCAGTGGCCACAACGAGGATTCCTCCTCCCAGTAGACGGGGTCCTAGATGGACAAGGCCCTCGAGGGAGTGGCAGGCCCCTTTGGATTCTTTCCGAATGGGAGTGGGGCACTTTCTCAGATACCAACATGAAAGGTCACGGGGCTGAGTGGCAGAGGATGACGCATCTCCAGGGGGTGGTGTTTTGGGCACCAGGTCCCAGCCTTGACCTTGGTGTAGACCCAGGTGTTTCTGCCTCCTTCCTCCAGGAACCAGGAGGTCCCTCTCGCCACACCAGTGAGCAGGGCAGGAGTATTTCGAGCAGCGGGATGGGCTAAACCATTGCAGAATGTTCTATGTGATTCCAAGGTTAAGGCTTTGGGGAGCTGCTGACGGGCCTGTCACATCTGAGCCAAGAGGAGAGGCGATGATCTGCATTTGGTGATAACTCCAGGGTTCCTGCCTGATCACAAAAGAGGGGTATCCCCATGTGGCACCCCGACGTGCCTTGGGCTCCTTCTGCCTCACCTGGGCATGGTGGCCCCCTGGCCCAAGGCCACCCGTTTGGCTGTAGGGTGGTGTGTAAAGTATCTTGCCTTTCTCCTTAACTGCCCTGAATCAGTTTCCTTCTGGCTAACAAGGGGAATATACAGCATAAACCTTCCAGGTGATTCTGTCTAGTTTTTCTCCAGCTAGGAAATGGCCCATGCTCACCTAAGTAACAGCCATGGTTAAGCCAGTGAGCTGGAGCAGTCCTGGGCAGGCTCTGTCTTCTGACGCACGTCTCCACCCGCGGCTCCATCAGCCTCGGGTCAAGGTGCCACTCGACTTAGGACGTTGTGAAATAGACTATGCAGGACTATCGAGTTTCTTAATAGTCCCCAGAAAATGCAACCTCTTCCTAACTCCTCTTGGCATCCGAGGACAGCTCTTGACCGGGGTAGGAGACACTTCGATGATCCTGGAGGCTGAAGCCAGCCAACAGCCCCAGTCGTTCAAGGTGCTCTGACATGGGCTTGGAGGAGGAAGAGAAGGAGCTTCGGGGGCCACTGTGCTGCCTGCCCAGGCACCTGGGCTCTGAGACGGGAGGGACAGACAAATCCACCTCGGGGGCACAGGCAGGGGAGCACAGACGTGTGTCTTCGGTGGGGGGTGATGAACGTGATCTGTCCAGGGCGCACACTGTGTCCAAGGTCGCAGAGGTGGAGCTGGGTCTGAAAACCCACGGGACCTTCCGCAGCGGTTCCCAGAACCAAGTCTCTAGCGACCGCGAGGCCATGGTCAATGATTTCAGGACAGGTAACGGGGTTTGCTACTGACAGGATGTCCGAGTCCCTACCCAGCCTGACAAAGGTGCACGTGGACCTAGGTGACTGGTCCTTCCTGAAGCCAGCCATCGGGAGGTAGGGGGAAGTTCTCTAAGAACCAAAGTTAAACTCACCAACGGCTCTGGGGCAAGGCCAAAGGAACGTCTCCCTGGAGGGGCCGTGGTGGTGACAACGGCGGGTGTGTGATCACTGTTGGTGCAGAGAGAAATGGAACGAGACCATCCTCCCAGCCACAGGCTCTGCAGGCAGTTACGTAAAAAGCAAAGAGAGACTAACAGTCGTTCTGATTCCCACGTGGGAAAGAGTCAAGAGATGGTTTCCGAAGGAACCGTCTGACGTGCGGCATCAGAGTTGTGCATCTTAACCGGGGGGGCACCTCGCCTGAGCTGGAGAACCAATGGCCCCTGTCCAGGGCAGACCCTGGGAGAACAGTGACCACATGTCCGAGTCCGTCCGGCGAGGAGCCACCTTGCTCTGAGGACAGGAAGCACGGCAGCTCTGGGACTCAGTTTAATTGGGGTGTCGTGTGACAGGTGTGCTCTCTGGGGTTCACTGGGCGTGGTCGTCATTCTGAGGTGGGAGGGGCCAGACACCATGGAGGGGTGGAAGCAGCTGGCGCCACATGAAGGGCCCGCGTCTGGGGTTCCATCGAGGTCAGAGGTCACCGCTCTGGGGCTCCACGTTGCGAGTCTCCCTGGGTTGCCCTCGGGACAGCTTGGGGAAGCGGGAAGCTGCTTTGGGCCGGCTGTTCTTGTTCAGTGGCTCTCCGGGAGGGGTAAGGTCACTGCAAGACAGAGTGGGAAGAGAATCGGGTTAAGGCAGGGAAGGGCCAGGGGTGGGAGCCGTCACAGCTGGAGTGGCCAGTTGCTACCCAGCTGTGACCAGCGAGTGCAACTAGGCGAAATGAGAAATCCATGTTGCTGCGTGAACCGCCATCTTTTAAAAGTGTGGCTAAGCCAGCTCGTGGGGCCACCTTTCTGGACCTGGTCCACTGAGGCTACGAAAGAATGCACTAGTCAGGGCTTTCTTCCCATTTTCCTTGCTCTTCCTAAAAAGGCACATTTCGAAGTCAAAGAAAAAATACTTGGGAGAACACTGTAAAGTCTTAGAAGATACGTAGCAAAAACCTAGGCTCAGGCGTCCTGTGGGCCTTACCCTAAGGAAACAGGGTCCTGCCAATGTCTAACGGTAGGGATGCTCCTCACAGCCGCGTGCGAAAGAGCCCAAGGGGTGCACGGATGCTGGCTGTGCACGACCACATTGCAGCCACCAGGCCTGCGTTCACGGACCCGTAAAAGCGTGCAATTAGAACACGGGTTACAGCAATGTGGGCAGGTACAACGCGCTGTGTGTAAAGAAACAGCAGAAGGATTTGTTCGCTCATTCCATGAATGTTTCTCGAACACCAACGCTGGCCCAGCACAATTCCAGGTGACGGAGCTAGAGATGGTCTCCCAGGTCCCCTGGGATTCGCAGTCCCAGCAGGGCTAAGGATCATATGTGAGGAAGACCTAGGTTACACGTCAGCTGGGCCCTCCCTGAGAAGCCAACCTAGGGTGCTGCTCACAGGAAGTGCCCGGGGAGGGGGGGGGCCAGAGGACAGCACGAGTGAGTGTCTGGTGCAGGAGGCCCCCAGCACACCTGAGGGGACATGGAGAAGGCCGGGGTGCCGCTGCTGTAGGCATGAATGCAGAGTGGTGAATAGACGGGGGCTTAGTTCCCTATGGCTGCTTTAAAAACAAACAAACAAACAAAACCACACCCTTAGTGGCTTAAGGGAACATACATTATAGTTTTAGAGGTCAGAATCCAAAGCCTTACAGGGCTACAGTCAAAGTGGCTGGCAGGGTTTTTTCCTCTGGGGGACCGTGCCTTCCCTCCCCCACTCCAGCTCCTAGAGGCCGCCTGTGTGCTCGGCCTGGTCCTCCAGCTGCAGAGCCGGCAGCGTAGCATCTTCACGTCTCTCTGCCCCCCCACCTGATCATCTCCCCACCTGCAAGCAGTGAGGGACACAGTCGTAGGTTCCAGGGATGAGGACTCTGTCCACCACGGGCTATTTGGATAGGAAGTCACGTCAACAGGGCTTGGCAATTGATCACACACAATAATCATCTCTAAATGGTAACATGATAGATGTTAAAAAATAACTCTTTACTTTAAAAGACAAATCTGAGATTAATGTTCATGCTGTGTCCCGGGCCCTGTCACAAGATGAGCAGCGGCAGCTCAGAGAGGACCAAGGACACCCACCGGGTAAGTGGCAGATGGGGACTGTCCACCACGAGCTGTCTCCGAGTCCAGCCTCACAAACAGGTGAGTCAAGGAAAGACTCACATTCATAAAGAATTTGGCCCCTTTATGAACTCCGAGATACGGCACACTGCAAACCCTCCTTGGTGCCCCTCAATTCCCCACGTATGTCCGACGTGGGGAACAGGCTGGAACCTTCTCCGAAAAGGCCATCGCAGTCTTTCTGGAACTGATCAGTACCTGGGATGAGCAGGTTCTAAGCTGCTGTGTCCTGACACAGCAGAGGGTGGGCTCTTAGCAGGGCCCCCAAAAAGCTACAGTGATGGGGGAGAGACGGGTACCGGGCAGGGGTGTTTACAGACAGCCTGAAGAAATGAGTCCGTGAGCAAACAGGTGCGTGTTCCAGCCTGAAGAGGTGTCACGTATCCCGTAGTGAAGGGGAGAGGACCATCCATCCGAGAAATTGCTTCCCTGGAGCTGGGGCTACACCCTATACCAGGCTCTGAGAAAACAAAGCTAAAAGACTCAGTTTCCCCCTTCCGGTGGCTCAGAGCAGAGTTGGGGGCTGAGTGACCACACAAAAGCCACGCAGGGAGAGGCCCCTGGTGGATGAGTATGGCTGAGCAGAAGACAGAGGGAAGGAAAGAACATTCCAGCCAGGAAAGGGCCGAGGAGGGCACTGCACAGATGCCGGGACCGCCCCTGAGCGGTGAGCTGCAGCGCGCAGAGATCCACGAGTTCCAAGTCATTACTCAGGGCGGAGCCCCCCCAGTCAGAGGTAGGAGTTGACTCCCCAAATCAACATCTTTCGGAGTCGGAGTGGTTCCCCCAGCCCTGGACCTGTTCCTTTAGCCACTGACATTACTCACCAAGGACATAACACAGGGAACAAAATCCAGCTGCCATCAATCTTCACTGTCACTGCTATGACTATGACCAAAATGGTGACTGAGGACACCCACGGAGAACATGGGCCACGGCCTCAGGCGCTACATTCAGGTGAGGGGAGACCCTACCCCACACCCTCCCTCTTCTCGCTTGGAGGGCGCTCTCGGGACAGGCTCTAGGCCAAAACCAGACTCACAGGTCCACAGAGCCTTGAAGCTCATATCTGGTACCAGGATCAGTGAGGCCACTTTCGGGCCGTGCATGACGGAACTGCAGCATCTTTATTGTGGAAAGTGACCGTCACTGAGGCCTGGGGACACCCTGCCCAGAGCTGGGATCACAACAAACTGAGATCTTTTCTGCTTTCCACGTTTCCCTTGTATCTGTGATGCTGCTATATAACACCCAAGGTTTTTCCTTTGATACCTTTATTTTTAGGTTACCTGGGCCCATGCAAAAACATCCCCAAACCACGGTTTTAAGGCACATGGAAAATTTTAGAAACCCCTTGTGCATCACTTCTAGTTTACCTTGCTACCCCACAGCATGGGCGGATGTTACTTTCTTGCAATGCAAGTCCAGGGCAGCATGAACGAATCTCATAGAACCCTCTAGAAAAGGCAAAACTAGATAGGGACAGAACACTACAGAGGGAGAGAAAGGGGAGGCCCTGGGGACAGAAAGTCCTGGCCTATGCCCGGCTCTTCTGTCACCAGCACGGGGTGGGATATGTATCGCAACAGTTTCAAAAAGGGTGCAAACAAAGGGGGATCACAAGGTCTGCCCTGTAGGTTTCTGTGACAGAGCAAAGGCTCATGTGCAACACGTGGGGCCTGTGAGGTGCTGCCCAGTGCCTGGCCTCTCCCTGCACCTGCTTTGGCCCCTGTTGGAACCACCTCTAGCACAGCTCGCTCCTCCGAGAAAACCAGAGGCTTCCTTCCCTGGTTGTGGGGCCCCCTGTCACCAAGTTGGGCTGACACCCTGTACCTGGCTCTCAGCTGGAGGAAGGCAGAGAACCAACCTGCTGAGCAGTAGTGGTCACCGAAGACACAGCCCAAATGTCCTTCCATCTCCCCCCTCCTGCTGGGAGAGAGCTCCCTTTCCTGGCCCGGTCCCGTTAGGCTGTGAGTGTCCCTGACACGGGCCCATCTCTCCCCACTGCTGGCAACCGTCAGGCACCAAGGGCGTCTGTGTCTGCGCAAGGGTACCTGCCAAGAGCCCCAGGTGTGATTGGGTGCACCACAGGGTGTGCTGCCACCAGCACGTGGGTGAAATTGATCTGGTCTCAACCACTCCTCGGTGAAAATGGCCACTGGGAGGGGTTTGCTCTACACTTCACTTAGGAACTGGGGGTGGAGAGCCAGTCCATCTGCCGGGAGCACAGCCTTGCACGGGACCTGCCTATACGAGGCTAGCCCCCCTGGAACACAGGACTGAGCTGTGTGTGCTGCAGGAACGTGGCCACTGGCCTCCAACTTGATGAATCTCCATACTCATGGGAGCTGGAAAAACTCAGTTCTGCCTGCCCTGCATCTTGGGGCCTTTGGATCTATGGGGTGCGAGGGAGGGGCTCTGCCTTCTGCATTGGGTGGTGGTGAACAATGTCAGCCGAAGCACACCAGGCTAAACAGCCTCTGAATTCGTGCCTGGGCCCCAGGACTGCGTGGTGGTGGCCCCGTGGGGATCCAAATCTACCTGTGTGCTCCCTGCTACTCCATTACTATCTAAGATTTCTCTGCTTCCCGCCCCTTGGTTTGAACTGGGGCTCTGAGGGTTCCACCATCCATACATGACCCAGAGAGGGCTCCCGGAAGGTAGGACTGGGTCTGGTTCTTCAGATCCCCACAGGTCCTTAACCCCAAAAGGCACTTGATTTGGGATGGATTAAAGACCACTGCTTGGCAAGTCTTGGGCTGGAAACATTATGCAAATTCTTGTATCTTTATGCCAGCCTGAGGAAAGGGGTGCTATCCCAGTTTTACCGGTGTGGAGATTAAGGAGCAGAGGCTGATCTTTAACATGCAGTTTGAGCTCAGAGTCTACAGGATCAGATCAGTGGCAGCATTCGATTCTCACAGGAGCGCAAACCCTACTGTAAACGGCACATGCGAGGGCTCTAGGTTGCAGCTCCTTATGAGAATCTAATGCCTGATGACCTGAGGCGGTGATGCTAGCGCTGGGGAGTGGCTGCAAACACAGATTCTCATTCGCAGAGGTTTGACTGCACTTGAATCATCCCAAAACTATCCCCTCGACCCCTGGTCCGTGGAAAAACTATCTTCCATGAAACCAGTCCCTGGTGCCAAAAAGGTTGGGGACTGCTGGTTTAAAAGAAAAAAATTAAGAAGTTACAGTAAGCTAAGGTTAATTTAGTATTGCAGAAACCTCTTTTTTATCAATTTAGTGTAGCTCACGTGTACGGTGTTTATGGCATCTACAGTAGTGGACAGGAATGTCCCAGACCTTCAAGTTCACTCACCACTGACTCACCCACAGCAATTTCAGTCCTGCAAGCTCGTTCATGGGAAGGGCCCTAGACAGGTGTACCACATTTTTACGGTACGTTTTCTATTGTTAGATACACGAGTATTGAGCACTGTGTTACAATGGCCTACAGTGTTGGGCACAGTCCCACGCTGTGCAGGC